ACAGTCCACTCTCTCTTTTATATATTAATTTATAAGGATTCGTAATCCAACAAAGAGATTCCCGAACTTTTTTGTGTCGAGAGCCAAAATTTTTGTTATTCGGTTTTGGGTAGACCACCCATTCTTACCTGTATCGATTTTTTGTAAATTTCTAACTGTAGTAAAGTTCAGTGTTAAAAACATAAAGTAAAAACAACAAGATGACCGCTGCCGTAGACGCCTTGCAGTTTGTTATAGACCCCTGGGGGGTCGATATAGACTTTGGGAATCACTGATCTAAACCCTGATAAAGGACATAGGTTACTATTTAATGCAAAAAAAAGTTTGTAAGGTGTTGAAAGGGTAGATGGAAGTTTGTATAGAAGTATAGTCTTTTTTGAAGCTAGAAACTTGAAACTTAGTAGCCAATGCCCTTTCTCAAGTCGAGACTATCTGTGTAGCATTAGACAGACAGAGAGACAGAGTTACTTTCGCATTAATAACATATGTAATATGTTATTTGTGATATTAGTAAGGAAGTAATGGTTTTATACTATAAGGATATATTGGAATTACCCTTAAATAAATTCAAAACATCTGTTAAATCATATTTACTGAGTAAAGCCTACTCACTAAACGATTACTTAATGACGAGCGTGCATGGCAATAGTTGTTCATGCACGGGATTTTCATTTAATGTTAGACATAGACACCTATATAAATATACATTGTAAATAAACTGGCTTTTAAAAAAAAAGTAATTCAATTCAGTTTCTTGCCAGTTCTCAGTTGGATCTATATACCGAACTGGACGGTAGGAAAAAAATAAAATTATAATGTAAAAAATTTTACATTCATAAGCGGCTAAAATGTCCTACATGAATAAATGATTTATAAATTTGAATTTGAATTTGAATAAGGGTAATATAGTAGTAATGAGGGTTTTATAGTTATGAATAGTTAATTTACAGCAGGCCAATATGAAAACAGTGGTCTCACCATCGTGCACCGTACACCAACATTCGTGGCATCCCTGCAGGCGTCTAATGGTGACCACCAACGCCATGTGTGCTCTGCAAGTATAGTACATGAACGGTATCTTTTAACAGCCGCCAGCTGTTTTTACAAACCGACGGGACAGCTCTACAAGTGAGTTTTATACTTATAATGAAGGAGAATGGTATTGTTAGTAATGATGATTCATGACCCATCTTTCATATCAAATCAAATCGAAAGTCTTAAAAATTTATGTACGACATTTTAGCCGCTTATGTACGTTAAGTTTTTGTGTTGATAAAGTCCAGCCGCTCAATGTGTCGAATGGGCGATATAACTTTGAATTGACGTACAATTTTCGGCAAAATTTTAAATATCTTTTATTTGCCTTAGTAACTAGTGATAGCATTAAAAATATAATAGTCATTCCAACTTACAACTAATACGTTTAATTTTGGACTAATTATTTAATCCAAGTATGTATATGTGTATATATTTATTTATGTGTCGTATCATCGTATGTAAATATGTATGTCTAATAATATGTATTATTTTAAAGTTTTTTTATAAACTATAATGCGCCGCTTACTAACTTCTCAGTTTGCCTTATGGTTGACTGGTAGAGAACGCCCTTAGGTGTTAAGTTCGCCATATGTACATTTATATATTGTATTTGTGCATTAAAGTTTAAATAAATAAATAAAATTATTTAGAAATAGAAATAGAAATAATCTTTATTCAAATAAACTCATTACAAGCACTTTTGAATAGTCATATTTTGATTCTACCACTCATTCGGAATGCAGATTCATCACAAGAAGAATGAGCAAGAAACTTGTGTGTTGCTCTTTTTGATAGATGTTTTTTTTATATAAATAATTACAGTGTAACAAGTAAGAGGCATGCGACAATCAACATAGAAATCGCTACGCACTCATTATTAGTGTAATCAGATAATATTGTCAGTGCTATGTATTTAAAATTTTTCTACAAAAACATTATTATCGTTAACGAATTCTTCAATTTTATAGTAAGCTTTTTTGCAAAGGAAGTGTTTTATTTGACATTTAAATCTTTTTTCTGGCAGATTTATAACAGACTCTGGTATTTTATTGTAAAACCTTACGCAATTGCCATAAAACGAATTACTAACTTTAGCCAAACGACATTTAGGTAAAATCAGTTTGTTATTGTTACGTAAGCTTTTATTAGTGCAATCACTAACTCTTTTGAAACTGTCTATATTCTTCCTGGCATACATGATGTTTTCATAAATATATTGAGAAGCAACGGTGAGGATATTTGATTCCTTAAAGCACTCTCGCAAAGACTCCCTGGAACCCATGCTATAAATGGAGCGAATGGCCCTCTTTTGTAAAATAAATATTGTATTTATATCAGCTGCTTTGCCCCATAACAAAATACCATACGACATAATGCTATGGAAATAACTAAAGTACACAAGTTTAGCTGTTGCCACGTCTGTTAATTGTCTAATTCTTCTTACCGCATAAGCGGCAGAACTAAGTCGACTCGCTAATTTAGTAATATGGGCACCCCATTGCAACTTGGAATCTAATGTGATACCTAGAAATACAGTATCATCCACAAAATTAATAGGTTTATTGTCCAACATGATTTTTGAATCTACCGGTCTTACATTGGGGAGAGTAAATTTGATACATTTAGTTTTATTTGCATTTAGTAACATATTATTAGCCGTAAACCATTTTAAAACATAAGAAAGAGCACCGTTTACTTCGTCCAAATCATCAATATGTCGATTGACTTTGAATACTAATGAAGTATCATCAGCAAACAGAACTATGTCAGCTATCTTTTCTACCATATAAGGAAGATCATTTATGTAAACTAAAAATAAGAAAGGACCTAAAATAGAGCCCTGAGGAACACCCATTTTAATACTAGTTCCTTCAGACTTTACACCATTTATTTCGACAACTTGCATTCTATTATTTAGATAGGATTTCATCATGCTTTGTGCTTCATATCTAATACCGTAATGTTCAAGTTTGAGCAAAAGTGTTTCATGTTCAACGCAATCAAATGCTTTTGAAAGATCGCAAAATACACCGACTGCATCCTGAGACCTCTCCCAAGAATCAAATATATATTTAATGAGAGCTACACCGGCATCAGTAGTTGATTTACCGGCCGTGAAACCAAATTGTCGACTGTGAAGCAGTTTATTTACTTTAAAGTGTTGTAGCATTTGATTGAGCATAATTTTTTCAAACACTTTACTCAATACTGGTAAGATAGATATAGGCCTATAATTACCTACCACAGTTTTTTCTCCTGACTTAAAGAGTGGAGTTATTTTGCTATGTTTCATTAAATTGGGAAAAACACCGTCAGAAATACATTTATTGAAAATAATTACTAAATATGGAGCAATAACATCTATAGCGGTGTTAATAACTTTAACAGACATGCCCCAATGGTCTTCAGTATTTTTTAAATTTAATTGTTTAAATGTTTTAGTAATTGTAGCAATGTCAATAAATGTAAATTTAAATGTAACCGGACAAGAATTAATTACTTAACAAATATAAAAACAATAGTTTTTAAAACTCAAACCACATCAAATGCGTTGTTTCAAGGTTATGTCAATTGTTTGTTGTTGTAGTGATCAAAAACAAACAGTTATCAGTCGTTACTAAGGCATATAAAAGATTTAAAATTTTGCCAAAAATTGTACGTCAGTTTTAATTTAGATCGCCCATTCAATACCTACTTATCAGAAAGGCAAACTCTGAGCAAAACACCCAACTGAATTTCTTTTCTAAAACAATTTTATTCACATTATTTATAGGTGTCGAACATTAAATTCCGTGGTACATTGGTTGACCTCCACCTGCAATCCATCGTGGTAAATCCTGGTGAATTGTCACGATGTGCTAAACTGACCTGACCTCATGTTCTTATCATGCTTCACTGGTGCCCCGCCAGCGTAGACCGTCAGCGCAAGCGGGTGCAACATCACATTTGTAGCGAATATACTATCATATTGCGGCAACACCGTTGCCTAGTTACGATAGAGCAAGAAAATTAACGAGCCATTCGAGACCGAGTCACATTCTTGTGTATTTTGTAAATATTTCATCAATATAAATATGTACATAGGGGCTGTTCAAGTATTACGTAAGTAAATTTATTAAAATTATTTACCCGACCATCCCAGCAAAAGTAAGCAAAGCTCTTATCCGCTCCCCCCACGCTTACGTAAACATTTTTTAATTAATATATTGTTTTTTTAGCAATGACAATGGCACCCCTGCCATTCGTGTAAAAAAGTAAATAACTATCGATGACGTAATCATCATCTAGACTCCCCTACCCCATGTCATCGAAAATAAGCAAAGCAAAGACCCCCCGTCCCCCTATAGTGTTTACGTAATACTTAAACGCCCCCATAACTACAACCTGGTGTTATTCTCTTCCTTCTTCTTGGTGTAGCTACATTAGAGTTGTCATCTCTAAAATTGGGAAACCAAGCCAAGACGCGTGCAAACCCCGGATTTTAGAGTCCAGAACTCGGACATGTCAACAGGTTTTTATAAACAACAGCTAGTCAGTCAAATAAAAATCTGTCAAAAGTGTCATAAACCCCATTTTATTTAATTTCAGACCTTAAAATTAAATTGATGAAAAGTAATTTTTCATCATCACTTTAAATGTACATATCTAACAAAACTGAATATTATCACAGTTTGTTACAAATTGTTTTAATAATCAGTACGATTATTATTTGCTCTTAATTATAAATAACAGATTGTTAATATACTTTAATATTATACCTAAAAAAATATATTACTCCCCGGATGTCTAAACTAGGACAAATCCGGGGAAATGCGGACGGATGGCAATCCTATGCTACAGACTGAAGGACTTGTATCCACGGTCATGAATATTATTAAAAAATATTAACACACAAATTAATACAATGTAATTACAATTAATAATTTCTATTCTATTCTATTCTATTCTATGCTACAGACTGAAGGACTTGTATCCACGGTCATGAATATTATTAAAAAATATTAACACAACACAATTCGAAATAATAGCGGCCTCTCATAATAGCCTTCAAACAAAATATAATGTAATTACAATTAATAATTTCAGAGAACTAAGAAAAGCCCTAATCAGCGACGGGTCCTCCAACGGAGGCCTATATTACGACATACAAGAATATTTCACACACTACAAGTTTTTTTTACAAACCAGTAATTACGATGTGGGCTTGGTAAAGTTGGTAGAGAGAGTGCATTTTAGTCCACGCGTGGGCAAGATCGGTTTGGTGGACCACAACACTATTGTGCATGTTGGTGACACGCTGCATGTCGCTGGATGGAGGTATATTGACGTAAGTGTTGAGATTATTACTCTGTGGTTTATAATAATCATTTATTCAGCATAAAAAAGAGTACAGAGTAAAAAAGAAAACTTAAATACTAATAATCATCTATGCTGAAAAGGCTTCTACTCAGCTGGTGCCGCAGCGTGTCACTACAGCGCTGATTTTCAGTGGAGCCACTTGAAAAACAGAAATAACATTTGTGATGAATTTAAATATATAAAATGAAGAATGAGTTAAATGAATAAATTATAAGTACATATGTGTGATAAATAGAAGAAAAATATATAAGGATAAAAAAGTGTTGATAGAAAGACTTGTGTAATGTAATATAGCTTGATATATTTATTTATTTAATCAATTTAATCAATATATATGTATATATGACTATTGTATTTATCTGCCACGTTTAAGATTTTTGTACTTTAAGTAAATATTTTTTAAAATGATGTTTAAAAGACGAAACTGACTGTTTAAGTTTAGGCTATGACAGGTCTATGTTTATAAATAAGCTTACGTTATTTTAATAAAGCTGAAATTTATATATATTATTGAGAGAACTATTAAACTGAGTTTCCTAAATTGCCAGACAGTTTTCTTGGTTCTTTATTAAAATGACGTAAGTTTATTTACAAAATAGTATAGTTTAGGGGGGTCCGGCGGGGGGTTGGAACCACACTAAGTGTCTGGCAATGAGCAGCGCAAGTTATAATAATGCTACGAACAATATATCAAAATATGGAGTTTCTTAAAATAATTAATTTGATATGAAATTTTTTACACCTTTGTTACCTGTTACCTGCCAAAGGAACCACGATCCAGGTTTCATGTTTGGGGATCGTTCTTACCTGTGTTGGGGACACACATACAAGAACTTTCACGTTTACTAAAATGACGTATGTCTGGCAGTCGTGGGCTCTTGCTCTATTATGGATGACAGTATATTATGTATGGGACCATAAAATACCTTCCAAATAATATAGAGAAGGGGATCGTTAGTAATGTGGATTAAAAAAGTTATATATGTTAGTTAGAAATGTACCATGTCAGGTTGACTTCCATGAGTTTCTCTCTGGAAACCATCTTGTTAAATTGACATTTGCCAAGATGGACAAAATGACCTGACCTCATGCTCATCTTATCATCCTCCACTGGTGCCCCGCCAGCGTAAACAGTTAGCGCAGGCGGGTGCAACATTACATTATCATAAAAAAGTATATTTAAAAATAAATTACAGAAATTATTAATCGATAAATGTTATTATATCAGAATTTTACCTTTTTTTATTTTTATTTTTTACCTTTTACCATCGCACCGCCATCGACAGGGAATTCATCCCCACACGCTGGAACCTAAGTGGTCTCGGACAGTGCGGTTTCAGAGGAGCTTCCCCCCGCGTACACTTAGATTGTGGAATGAACTACCTGCCGAGGTTTTCTCACGAGACTACAGCATGGGGTTTTTCAAGAAGGGTCTATTAAGGTTTCTTAAGGGTCGGCAACGCGCACGTGACAACCCTGGTGTTTCAGGCGTCCATAGGCTACGGTAACCGTTTACCATCAGATGGGACGCAGCCTTGTTTGCCACCTACGGGTATATAAAAAAATTAAATGATAAAATTTTCATAATGACGTAAAGACCATAGCGATGTCAATGTAATATAGCGGTAAATGATTACAGCCTCAAGATACAAATTCAAGTGATCTGAATGTAACAAGTACGTCTGTGGAGGTGGTGTCCCGAGACAGTTGTAGAGTGTTGTCTTTGGGCAGGATTGTCACGTCCGCCATGATGTGCGGTGAATTGGCGGGAAAAGAACGCGCGGTAAATATTATAGATTATATTATTTACTAGCTGTTCCCGCGACTTTGTCCGCGTGGAATCTTATTTTATTTTTCTAAAATAAAAGTAGTCTAAGTAACTCCTTATTACATCAGCTACCTGCCAAAAAAAGTCCCGTCAAAATCGGTCCAGCCATTTCAGAGATTAGCCGGAACAAACAAACCGACAGACAGTATATATATTCATATGCATGTAGTAAAAAACTGTTATTTCAATATTACAAACATACACTCCAATTTTATTTATATGTATAGATTAAAGTTAAATTACTCTGTACTAGTGTTATGAATGCCATGATCTGTGTCTGTCTGTTTGTTTGTAACATTTTCAACCTTCAGTATATAGATCCAATTGAGAAGAACTGGCAAGAAACTCAATTGTATTACTTTTAAGTCAGTTTAATTACAATGCATATTTATATAGGTGTCTATGTCTAACATTAAATGAAAATCCCGTGCATGAACAACTATTGCCATGCACGCTCTACATTCAAGTAATCGTTTAGTGAGTTTAGCTTATAGGCTTTGCTCAGTAAATATGATTTAACAGATGTTTTGAATTTATTTAAGGATAATTCCAATATATCCTTTGGTATCTTATTGTAAAATTTTGTACCTATTCCCATAAAAGACTTTCTAAACGATACTTGGTGACAGCAAGTGAAAATCTAGTATTAATATTATGAATTATGCTGTTTTTTTGGAAATAAGTCAAGATATTTGTGTACATATAGAATACTAGCTGTACTCGCGACTTCGTCCGTCTGGAATTTAACAAAATAGATATTTTTAGAATTTTTCTAAAATAAAAGTAGCGTAAGTTGTTACATCAGCTACCGGCCAAAAAAAAGTTAGTACAGTTAGTAAAAAGTGTAGTAAAAAACTGTTATTTCAATATTACAAACAGACATACAATTTTATTTATATGTATAAATTTTAGTAGAATTAGAATAGTCACGACAGATTATTTTTTTCATTACAAAAGAACACAAAATCATGACGACAGATTTTCTCTTATATATCTTTGAATTATGTTATACAATTTTTGACTTTTATATATTTTGTTTTATTCTAGAGTAGTGTCAAATAATAATAACCTGAGGACGATTCACACAGCGCCATCTAGACCCAAGTTAAGCTAGCTAAAGCTTGTGTTATGGGTACTAGACAACTGATACAAATACATAGATATTTTTTTTCTCGTAAATACATACATATTATACATAGAAAACACCCAGACCGATACAAACAATCATACTCATGAATACAAATGTTAGTGCCGTGCGAGGAATCGCACTTGCGACCATCGGTCGTAAAGCGGTGTGCTAGACCGCTAGACCACGGAGGTCGTCGAGGACGCTCATAAGGCCATGTCTGCCTCATTACATTAACACGAAGTAACATTTTATATATTATTTATCATATTTGTCATACATTACTTAAATAATAATAAAATATAACATTCCGAACTGACGGTTGATTTGACATATCAGTAATTAATTCATGATTTAAGCTGTACTCTTGTCGGTGGAACTCTCGCTACCTTCCACGATCTTCCATATACGTCAAATATACTGCATATTACCCAAATCTAAAAGTTACCTACATAACTGTATCTATATAAAATTTATGTTGGTTTATTTAATGTTTGCAGGCTGACACCGGCGCACCCTTGTACCTCGACAGGGTGCAAATAGGGGTGGCGTCTCGTCAAACCAGCGGACTCAACCCTGCTCTCTTCACAGAGATTAACTCAACTCGTCTTTGGATTCTAAATGTTATTAATAATCGGAATTAAATAGATTTTAAAATAAGATAGATGAATTTATAGATGATACCAATATATAGCAAGAATATTGTCAGTCGTTTTACACGTGCGGCCTATGGTTTGGGTATACGCAGAGGGCATACAACGCTCTTCGTATACAGTATAATAATGGGTTTAGGATGTTGTTGGGCCTCCCTCGGTCCTGTAGCGCATCAGAGATGTTTGCAGCAGCGCGGGTAGATGGATTTGAAGCCATAATGCGTAAAATTGCATTACTGATGTCTAGAATTCGGGGGAGCTCAAACAGCATCCTAAAAACTGTTGCGAATATACCTGATTGTCCGCTCCAGAGGCACTGGATAACGTTGCATTGTGGACCCAGTGCTTCTGGACGTGGACACAGATATATGAATTAAATATATCTACGTATATGTATATTATAAGTTACTAACATAGTTTTATAAGTTTTTACTAACACAATATGGATGTAATCCGAATTAAAATTAAATAAATAAAATAAGTTTATTTGCAGACAACGTTATAATTTATTTTCCATACTGCTTTCTTGATATATGATAGCGTAGCGGCTTTTGTATTGATTGCCGCATGCATCCTCATGTAAAGTGCGAATACTGTAACTACCATATAGTAATTTTTGTAGCTGTGACGTGGTCGAGTGGAATGAGTAGTCATGCTCACTAAAATGTCCAGACATGTGGCGGCGTGGTGGGCCGGGTCATTGGGCTCCCTAAAATATGGTCAAGTGCAGTGACGGCTGGCTCAACCGTCATACTCGTGAACGAGTGCTGCTTGTAGGGACTGGTTTGCTCTTATTACTACGATTGATTTAATGTTGTTTTTTATATTATTATTAGACTTTACACCATCAATATCTACAGTTTGCACCCTATCCTCTAGATAAGTTTTCATTAGACTTAGGTCATTATCTCTAATACCATAATATTTGAGCTTGTACAAAAGTGTTTCATGATCTACGCAATCAAACGCCTTCGATAAGTCACAAAAAACGCCGAGAGCATCCTGTGAGTTCTCCCATGATTTGAATATATGTGTAATAAGCGCTACACCTGCATCAGTAGTAGACTTACCGGCGGTGAAACCATATCGGTGACTGTGAAGCAGTCCGTTATCTCTGAAGTATTTTAACATTTGGTTAAACATAATCTTTTCAAATACTTTACTTAGAACTGGCAAAATAGAAATTGGTCTATAGTTGCCTAGCTCAAATCTATCTCCAGATTTAAAGAGTGGAATTAATTTGCTAAATTTCATTAATTGAGGAAACACGCCATTATCAACACATTTATTGAAAATAGTAGCTAGATAAGGAGCAACAATATCTATGAATGAACTAACTACTTTAACTGAAATGTCCCAGAGATCTTCCGTAATTTTTTAAATTTAACTGTTTGAATATTTTTATTATATGAGAAGGGCTGATATGTGAAAATTTAAATGTGAAAGAGCAAGGGCTGACATTAGCCTCCAGTAATGTTTTTGCTCGAATTGGAGATGAGTCTAGAGAAGATGTAATATCAATCGGAATATTAGCAAAAAAATCTTGGAAAATATGAACTATATCTTTTGTTGCTGTTATTAACTTATTGTCATAATTTAATGAGAATTGATTGCAGGCTTTTTCAGACCGTCCAGTTTCTTTGTTTATAATTCCCCAGGTGGTCTTAATTTTGTTAGAAGACTGATTAATTTGTTTATTTATATAATTAGATTTAGCTGCAATACAAACTTGTTTGAAAATTTTAGAATAATTTCTCACATAAGTCGTAAATTTGTCATCAAATCTATATTTTTTTTTGATCATATAAATCAAATAAAATGTTTCTACTTTTAAGTATTTCTACTGTTGCCCATTCTGTAAATTTAGGTTTAACACAATATTCTTTTTTCTTGAAAATATTCTGGTATTCTTTTGACAAAAGACTAATTAACTTGGTGTAAAGAATATCAGGATTATTAAGACTGACAGATTGTAACTCTAAGTCTAATTTATATTTAACCGTGCTTTTGTATTTATTAATATTGTAAGCATTTATTTGTGTTTTTGATCTTTTATTATTGGTATTTTTTTTAGTCTGATTATTAACTTAACAACTTGACCACAGTGATCCGAAGGAAGTTTATTTATTATTAATTTTTCAATATACTTAGAGTTACAAAAAACATTGTCAAGACAAGTAGCAGTCGTAGCGGTTACACGAGTGGGTTCCTGAAAGACATTACTCAAATTAAAAGACTGAAATAAACTAATAATTTTTGTACATGTGGGTGTATCACAAAGAATATCAACGTTGAAATCACCACACACAATGATTTTTTTTACTGCTATTAAATACTTTTTTTAATATATCCTCTATCACCTCTTCAAATACTTTATAACCACTATTAGGAGGCCTGTAAACACATATAAGTATATAATTATCTAGTTCTATACATGAGATTTCTGTACAACACTCAATAGAAAGTCTAACAATGTCAGCACGTTCCTTTACTTTAATATTATTTCTTGCAATTATCATAGACCCACCTCTGTTAACTGACTTTCTATTGAAGCAGCTGACAACATTATAATTATTTAAACTGAACATCATATTGCTTTCTTTAAGCCAATGTTCAGTGAAACAGATAATGTCAATATTGTATTTTTCCAAAAATAATTGTATAATTAATTCACTGCCGGGAAAACTTTGTATGTTCTGATGAACAATTACCAATTCTAATTGCTTTCCCTTTGTCTTTGTTAGCAGTTTAAATCTGCAGTCAAATTACTTATATCACTATTTACCTAAACAAAAATTAATAGAATCATTTGTTATGTCACAATTTTTATATTGAAGTTTACCATGTAAACTGTTCATGAAGTCAATATTATAAGCCACTAAAGTGGCTATTTTATTCTTAGAAGATTTAGAAAGATACATTGTATCTTTTGTCAAATAAAAATAACTAATAAAACTATTATTGTCAAAAAATGTAAAAAAGTCACTATGACGACATGTCAATGTATGTAATAAATTATTAAGGTAATGTACCTTATTTTTAATTTTTTTATGATAATGGCTACTTGTATAAGGAAGAGCGCACAATACAATCTTATATACATTAAATTGTAACAAATATTGAATACCTTTAATTATATCCTGTCTATTTAATTTAATACTATTACCGAAAAATAACACAACTGTGGTCATTTTATTCATTTTAGTAGATTTAATTTTGTTAATAATTTGTGCAAATGATGCCCCTGGCATACAGTAATTTAATACATCACCCTTAAGATGATACTTCAATATAGACCCAAAATTACAGCCTATTCTGTCAGAAAACACCATTGTGCTACTTTTAGGATTATAGTCACTGACACAAATCCCCTGAACTTCATTTATCTGCACAGTTGAAACTGAATCATTATTTGGCAAAGTTGAATGATCACATGTACAATGTTTAGTTAACGACTCAACAGGATATAATATTAGTATAGATTAAAAAAAACTGGAGGAAGCGTTATTGCTAATAGCGAGACAGTCTAATCTAATCTTACATCTAGACAATATTTGCATTGAATGAGGCAAAACAACTTCGATAAAACTTTAAATGATTACCTCATTACAACTTAAAAATTATAATTAGCTTAAATCACACATCACAAAATAACCTACAGCATTGGAATAATTGAATAAAAATAAAGAAGGTACCTCTCTATAATATACTAGCTATACCCGCGGATTCACCGCGTGGAAAAAAATATTTTTTGAAAATAAAAGTAGCCTAAGTTACTCCTTATACCTGCCAATAAAAGTCCCGTCAAAATCGATCCAACCATTTCAGAGATTAGCCGGAACAAACAGACAGACAAAAATTATAAAAAAAGTTATTTTGATGTATGTACCGTTATATGCATGTAGTAAAAAACAGTTATTTCAATATTACAAATAGACACTCCAATGTTATTTATATGTATAGATTACTATTGTATTTTTATTTATTTTAGTTATTTTTATGACTTATAATAAAACGTATTTTTTCTAGTATTTATTACGGCAATGTGTCTAACAGTCAGTTCAATCCAAGCTATTGCGCAGACTTGTCAAAGCAAATGTGAGGCAACGCTTGTAGGTTTCTTTATATCGCTAGGTACTATATATATATATATATATATATATATATATATAATATACGTGTTTATTTATCAAGCCGTTATAATTTAAAATTCAACCCTCTGTTGAGGCCTAAAGCGCCTGATATATTTTAATAGCAACAAGAAGATGCACTGAGCAGTCGCATTACGTACCTATACTTGTTGTTTGGGAATAGGTATAAAAAATTACAATAAGATAACAAAGGATATGTTGGAATTACCCTTAAATAAATTCAAAACATCTGTTAAATCATATTTACTGAGCGAAGCCTATTACTCTAAACGATTAGGTACTTGAATGACGAGCGTGCATGGCAATAGTAGTTCATGCACGGGATTTTCATTTAATGTTAGACATAGACACCCGGATGCGAGCAGCGCAGGACCGATCGTCGTGGAGATCTTTGGGGGAGGCCTATGTCTATACATTGCAAATAAACTGGCTTAAAAAAAAGTAATTCAATTGAGTTTCTTGCCAGTTCTTCTCAATCAGATCTATATACTGAACTGGACGGTGGGGAAAAAAATAAAATTATAATGTATAAAATTTGACGTTCATAAGCGGCTAAAATGCCTACATGAATTAACAATATTTGAATTTGTATACTCGCATCATTTTTATTTGTTTCTTATATAGACATTCGTCAGTTATCGAGTTCACTTTTGTACTAATTTGTTGAAATTAAAATACTTTAATATATGAAAGAATATATGGGTTTCATTAGAAGCTCCATTATGTTATACAAGACACTCCAATTCAAAACAACATGAAAATGTACTTCAAAATCTATCATTATGCACTAAGTAGAGTCCCGCGTTTAGATCCTCATTATCCTGTTTTTGTTTTCACAGCTCATTTACTGTGGAGGTGACCGCGTAGAGAGCAGTGCTGTCCTCCATCATGAGAAGCAAATGTTGCATGAGAAACATTCCAGGGATGCGACGGTCCGGATGACGACTCCATCTCTCAGTGCAACGATGATGCTGTCGTATAGTTAGTCGATAAATAATAAATAATGTTTACTTACCATAGAAAATTGCTAAATAACATTTGCTATATATTAACAAGTCCAAAGTTCGCATGATACCACAAAATAAACTTACTCATAACAATCACAAATAAATCACAAATAAATAATATCTCAACGCTCCGAGTTGTAAACGTCAGTGATACGTGTTTGTTTTACTGGCGCTGTCAGTTTGAATCGAGACGATATGTCGTGCATTCGTGTATTTATAATTAAAGAGGCAGTATATGGTGTTTCAGGCTTACGGTAACCGTTTACCATCAGATGGGCCGTATGCTTGTTTGCAATCAAACAAAGTCTTAGTAATATCACAGGTAACATAATATTATATCTAAATATATAATATATAACTCAAAGGTGACTGATTTGGGCTGTGCGTTGATAGTGATCTATCAACGCACAGCCCAAACCACTGGACGGAACGCGCTGAAATTTGGCATTCAGGTAGATGTTATGACGTAGGCAACCGCTAAGAAAGGATTTTGATTAATTCTATCCCAAAGGCGATAAAATAGGGGATGAAAGTTTGTATGAAACTTTGTCAATTTTAAACCGATCGGGCTGAGACTTTGCATGCATAAAGCTACTATGACGTAGGCATCCCCTAAGAAAGGATTTTTATAAATTCCACTTCTAAGGGGGTAAAATAGAGGATGAAAGTTTGTATTCTTCTTAGATTTTCGACTGATTGAACTGAAATTAAAGACTGGAGCTACTGGGATGAAGACGTTTGATTAAATAGGATTTTGATAAATTCAACCCCCATGGGGATAAAATAAGGGATGATGCAGGATGTAAATGTATTAGTTTGAACCTATCAGTACCTAATGGAACGAATAAATTAAGACGAACAAAATAATTTTTAGTTCTTTAGGCTACTTTTATTTTAGAAAAATAAAGTTAAATTCCACGCGGTCAAAGTCGCGGGAACAGCTAGTCTAATATAAACGTGAAAGTTTGTGAGTGTGGATGTTACTCTTTGTTACGTGGCGAATGAATAAACTTACTTTGCTATTTATTATTCTCACAATATTTCGTTTACAAATAAACAAACAAACAAACAAATGTAAATAGATATCATTACAAACTAAAAGACTTAATAACTAATATCGTAATAATATAATAGGTGTATCGTAACATAACATCTTTCATGCAAAAACTGCTGAACAGATTCTGTTGAACAGAACTTTACAATAACATAGATTGTATCAGAAATACACATCTATATTAATATTATAAAGAGGAAAAGTTTGTTTGTTTGTATAAAACAGGCTCCGAAACTACTGGACCGATTAGAAAAATTCTTTCAGCATTAGAAAGCTACACTATCCCTGAGTGACATAGGCTATACTATATTTCCAAAAAAAAATAGGGATCCTTACTAAAACTCTAATTATGTAACCCAAGGTGTAAAAATATTACATTATATATTTAACAGATTTAATATTCCAATAAAGAGTGGAGCCATCCCTCAATAACTTGATCTACCCACATATATAACATCCTATACCCATACCAGCACGTTACTGTATGACCATACTTTAATACTTATACAATTTAAAACAACTGTGTATAAATAACAGCCTTGCGTGTACGTCGACGGATTGTATTAATAATGACCGAGTCTATATTGTCCTGTGCCACCTGAGAAGGAATACGGCTTGGGTTAACTGATGTCAACCTTTCCTCTTCCTTCGATTCACAGCCCCCGGGTGCTTCTCCGAACGACCGCCCATCCTCCGTTGTAATTTCTGACACATCTAGGTCTGTGGATTGTGATGTAACGTGGTGCGCATTCCGGGCAATCTGGTTTTCTGCTGTGGACCGGATAGGAGCCACCGATGTCCTTTCTTTCGTTTTAACTGAGTGGAAGATAATTTTTATAAAAATTATTATTTGCACATTTTGACCCACTCAACACTTCCTATGCCACGCTCTATTGGATCGACTGGAAGAGATCTCTTTTAGAGATAAGTCCTCCTTTGTTAACATTAGTTGTAATTAATATACTTGTTGGAAACTCCAACAAAAATAGGTATTAAAACCTTCTTAATTATTTACTTCATAATATTTAAATATAGAACGCTGTGTTCTAATAATTACGATTGTCATTTGTTTTTAGTGGGCTTCAATATTTTGTTACACCGCTAATTATAACGACATTTTAATAAATATATATAATTACGATTTAATTTACAATTTGGTGTTTTATAATTATTCACAACGAATACATCCACGCAATTCGTTGAGAATCACACAAAATTTGGTCCATTTCGAGCATTGTAAGGTAAGAAACAGCGAGTACAATTATTCCAACGCAACATATGTGGATGCAAGAAACGCCATTCATTTGTAATTAAAAAGGTGTAAAAATCGATTTTGAAGCAAACCGATTCATTCTACGAGTATTCAACAGGCAATTAAATATTGTTAGCCTACAAACAATATTTCTCCGAGCGGCGGCTACGATTCATTTTAGTCATCGACTATAGAGAAGCATTTTTACAAACGGCGGCAAGCGAGTACCTTAGTTGACCTGCAAATAATACTGAATACCGTCAAGTTTATGTATATTACAAAGTTGAAGTGACAACCTTCACATGAAAATAGTATATGTGAACATTTTCCGATTACATGATTTTATTTGTGCAATTTATAATTTGTACATAATTACTAATTAATAATAAATATTATAACTTTTGGTGCAATTTACAATATTATACGATTCTTGGATTTTATATAAATATATATGCAATGGCTACTGATATAGAACCATCATTGCGTGCTTCTCGAGGATATGTAAAGGCAGCGATTACGCGAGTACACAACTTTGTTCTCGATATTTCTGAAGTAGAAAAAAGTACCGTGGAAGCTCTTTCCACTCGTAGAGAGAGACTCCTCGCTGCATTCAGCGAGTATGAAGCGTTTAATATGCGAATTCTCTCAATACAACCAGAGGATGACGAGGATGTCGCGGCTGTGGAGGACAAATATTTATATTCTGTTGCTATTCTCAGCGAAGCAATTAATCGCAAGACAACTTGTAATGACATTAAAGGACATTTTAGTAACATTACACGATCGAAGACAAAATTACCTGCTATTGAAATGCCTATATTTACAGGTAATTATATAGAATATATAGCCTTTCAAGCTCTTTTTACGTCATTAATACATAATGATTCTACTTTAGACAATATTCAAAAGCTGTATTATCTTAGGTCTTATTTAAAAAATGAACCTTACGATTTAATTAAGAACTTGCCATTGACAGCCAATAGCTATGATAAGGCTAGACAGTTGCTAGAGGATAGATATAATAATAGGTATCGTATTATTAATGAACACATTAGCCAATTGTTAGATTTACCTGCCCTTGTTAAGTCGACTTCCGACAACATCCGAAACTTTGTAGCTAGTCTTAAGCAAAGTATAGTAGCTCTACAAAATTTCGATGTGAAGATTGAAACTTGGGATCCAATAGTAATTTGTATTCTTAATCGTAAGTTAGATTCTTACACGGCTCAGTCGTACCAGCTTGAACGGGATGCTGCTGAAGAGCACAGCGTCAATAACTTCATTGAGTACCTTGAAAAGAGGGCACTCGCGTTGGAGAACGCTGCGCCGTCCACAACAGCGCAATACACGAAGGCAAAAAGCTGTTTATCTGTTAATGTAATAGCTGCTGGTACCAAGACGATGTCATGTCGTTATTGTAAGTGTAATAGCCACAAATTGTTTTCATGTAAGTCATTTAAATTAAGAACTTCTTTAGACTGATATAAATTTTGTAAAGTTAACAATCTATGCATGATTTGTTTAAATAAGCATAGTGGAAAATGTAAGTTTCATTTTAAGTGTAATCAATGTAAAAAACAGCACAACTCATTGATTCACCACGATGAAGGTGACGAAGGTCCAGTTTCTTTATTTTCAGAAAGTCAGGACACGAATGTTTTACTTCCCACCGTACAAGTAAAGTTATTCAATAAGAATAAAAAAACGATACTAGCGAAGGCAATTGTAGACACTGGTTCCCAGGTCTCCCTCGTTACGAGCAAGTTAGTCCAGCAATTGGGTTTAACTCCGACACCAATAAATACAAATATAATTGGTGTAGGCAATACTCAGAATAATACTAAATGTAGTATTCCATTAAATGTACATTCAGTCAATTCTTCCTTTAATATGACAGGTAATTTTTATGTGGTTGACAAAATTACATGTAAGCAGCCACAAGCGAAACCTGAAATTAGCCAATTAAAATTACCCCCAAATATTATATTAGCTGATAATCAGTTTAACATTCCATCTGAAATAGATCTGCTAATGGGTGCCGACATATTCTTCAATGTGGTAATACCCAACGAGTATGAACCATCTCAGACTCGACATCTGCACCGGCCACTGTCTAATTCTGATGAACTAACATCCCGTATCATCAATACACGTTTTGGATATATTATTGGTGGTTCAGTATTAGATCATCAACGAACTCCAAAACAGATCACAGTACAAAGTTGCTGATGTATAATAAAGTAGAGTCTCAGAATCAATCGGTAATAACTAAGCTATTAATTTAGTACATTATTTTATGCCAGTCCAAAATGTATACCTAACTAACTAACTAACCTATTTACAAATGTATACTTTATTTTAAATAAAAAGAAAATTATTTATGGCTGGAATAAAAGAAACGTGTTTTCAAGTAGATACTGTAGAGTTAAGGCTCTAAAATTATATCAAATATGTATTTTGTCTATAAATGATAAGTGTTGGAATGTATTGCACTCAATGTAATGCAAATGTTTAGTTAATTATTACTGTTGTTAATAACTCTTTAGTTTGTATAAAGAAAATATAAATTTGAAAATTGTACATTCCTTGTCATCCTTAGAACAATAGAAAATAAAGACTGTAAATTTAGACTTCATCGAGAAATATAATTGTGATATAATATTTTACTTTCCTCTTTTATTGATGCCCTATCTACGAACCTAACAATTCAATATCTATTATTATATATATATTGGGTTTGCTGTACTGCCCAATATTATGGCGACCGAATCAGTAAACGAGATTGCGGCGATGAAACGTGAGAGAAAAGTCATAAGAACAATATTCACAAGATCTGTAAGTTCCTTTGAAACTAAATTCGATAGCCCGGAATTTTCTGTCGACATTAAAATACAGTACAAAAAACTAGATGAACTGCAAGCTCAATTAACTACATTAGATAAAGAAATAAGGAGTTTATTAAGAAGCAGTGATGATGAAGACGTACTAAGTAAAGAAATCGACAGCGCCTTAGAATACAGAGAGAAGTGACTACGAATAGATACTTTGTACAAAAATATGTTAGCTTCGAGGGAAGGAAACGTAAGTAAGAAAAGTATTTTACTTCCCAAGCTGTAATTTATACACTTTGACGGTAATTTGAAGAACTGGCTGAATTACTGGGGCCAGTTCTCTAAAATTGATAGAGATCCCAATATCGACCCTACTGATAAGTACCAGTATTTATTACAATCCATGACCCCCAATACTGAGGTAAGACGATTAGTGGAGGGATTCATTCCATCGTCCTATAAGGAATGTTTGGAACAGTTGAAGTCCAGATTTGCCAGGGAAGAATTACTGATACAAGTTTACGTCAGAGAATTATTGGCAATGGTAAATCCACGCACCCAACTTGAAATTACTCCATTATACGATAAGTTGAGTGCACAATTACGAGCGTTAGATACTTTGGGAGTTACTAAAGACAAATTTGCTGCCTTTCTGCTTCCCATGATTGAGTGCTTTACCACAGGAAATTTTACAGTTATGGGAAAGAGCAAAAGGTACAACAGATGTTACAACTGAATTAACTGGATTGTTAGATTTTTTGAAGAGAGAAGTAGAGACACAACAAAGAGTTAGTATGGCTAAGTCTATTGAAGAGAAAGGAGGAAGAGTGAAAGAACACCAAATGATGGAGCCTACAGCCAGCTGTCTCTTGACGAAGTCAAAACCAGTTTCTATATCAAAACCTTCTTGTATATGGTGTGAGAAAGGAAACCACGAAACATTAGAGTGTTACAAACTACAACGGATGTCTATTGATGATCGACGTGAGTATCTTAAAAAACAAAAGATGTGTACAATTTGTCTTAAAAAAGGACATCACGCTAAGGTATGCAAAACATTTATTAAATGTATTGTGTGTGGGCGACGTCATGCTGTTGTTTTATGCAATGGAAAGAAAGAGGAGCCCAATGATAGTACAGTAATGAGTATCGCAGCTTTATCGGCGGTACCGAGACATGGTCAAGGGGCGACATTGCTACAGACAGTGACAGTCATTGTTAGCAACGGGAAACAACATGAAATGGTACGTGTTCTGTTTGACAATGGTGCACAACGTTCTTACATCAGAGAAGATATTGTTAAACGTCTCAACATCCCTAGTATTGGTAACGAAGTTTTAAATCAAACTCTATTTGGTGATGTACAAATATCTTCAAAAAATTTCAATGTCTATGATATAAATATTAGTAGTGTAGATAAATCCTTTAATTTTAAATTATCTGCATTAGGACAATCTTGTATATGTCGTAACATTCCTAAATATAATAAATATGATATTCAAGACTTACTTACTAGACACAACATAACACTAACAGACACCAATCAAACTTCTGATGATATAGGATTACTTATTGGTGCTGATTTTTCAGGTCTGATTCTTACAGGTCATCTGGTGAGATTATATGATTCGTTAGTGGCAATACACACTAAACTTGGGTGGACTTTACAAGGTAAAGCTCATATGTCGTCTACAATAAACATGATGTCAACTCAAGTAGCTATGTTTTGTTCCTCAGATGCAGTTAGTAACTTTTGGTGTCTTGAGACATTAGGTATTCGTGACCCAATAGAAACGAAGACAAAACAAGAGGCAAGATTAGAGGTACTGGCAAACTTTGAGGAGAATGTGTCGGTTAACGACGAGGGTCGTTATGAAGTATTTTTGCCGTGGAAGGTAGGTCATAATGAATTATTAAATAACTACGATTTAGCTTATCGACGTCTACAGTCAGTAACGAAAAAATTACAATCGTCTGACATCTATGAGAGCTATGATAAAGTGTTTGATGAATGGCTTAACCTCGGCATTATAGAGAAAGTTACGAACCCAGATGAACACAAAGGTTCATCACATTATTTACCTCATAGACCAGTCATTAAAGAAGAAAGTCTCACGACTAAAATTCGACCGGTATTTGACGCGTCGGCTAAAGACAAATATGGTAAGTCGCTGAATATATGTCTTGATACTGGCATCAATATGCTGGATAAAATACCTAAGCTACTGAATGGATTTAGGAAAGGAGGAATAGGAATTACAGCAGATATAGCTAAGGCTTTTTTACAAATATCGATTACACCTTTAGATAGAGATATGTTAAGATTTTTATGGTGTGATAAGGATTATAAATTAATCACTTTTAGACATCGTAGAGTAGTTTTTGGTTTAACATGTAGCCCATTTTTATTATCGGCTACGATACAACATCATCTCAATAACGTCAGTAATTACAATCGAGATACAGCAGATATATTATCTGAGTGTTTTTATGTAGATAATGTAGTCACTAGTTTGGATAGTGAAGAAGATGTATGGAGATTCGAAAAGGAGGCTAAAGTCATTATGAATCAAGCCAAGTTTGATCTTAGACAATGGGTTATATCTCCTACGTCACATAAAAATACAGACAAGGTTATTTCGGTTTTAGGACTCCATTGGCATACATCAAGCGATACATTTAGTTGTAATATGTCATCATTTTGTGACTTAAATAAAATTGTTGTTACTAAACGAAGTCTATTATCTATAGCTCAAAAAATTTATGATCCTATTGGTTTTACATCAGCTGTTACATTAATACCTCGACTTATCCTTCAGAAGACATGGTGTCGTAATTTGGAATGGGACAGTCCTCTGCCTAGTGATTTAAATGAAAAATTTGAATTATGGTGTACAAGTTTATGCCAACTTAAACATTGTAAGATTCCTAGGCGACTTACAGAAGGTCCATTTTCTGAATGTATATTACAATTACATATGTTTTGTGACGCCAGCAGTAATGCATACGCTGCATGCATATTCTTAAGGTCTGACTATAAAGGCAAAATAACAATACGATTGATTTCAGCGAAATCAAGAATTGCACCTCCTAAAAAACCATCTATTCCACGTTTAGAACTGTTAGCTGCATTAATTGGATCAAGATTATTGGCAGAGTCACGTAGAGATTTGAAATTAGAATGTGAGGAATATTGCTGGACTAATTCAAATGTAGCATTGTGCTGGATTAAAAAGGAACTACAATGGAATACGTTTGTAGGTAACAGAGTTAGAGAAATACGGAAGAATACTGATGTTAATAATTGGTTTCATATTCCAGGAAATTCTAACTGGGCTGACTTACCATCACGAGGATGTGATGCTGCAATTCTATTGACTTCTGGTTGGCTGGAAGGTCCGCAATGGCTGAAATCGGAAAATAATAAATGGATAAACTTACCTGTTACCGTAGATAATGAAGAAGTAAACCGCGAGCTGAAAAAATCAACAATTTGTAGTACTAACATATGTTCAGAAGAAATATTAACAAATAAATGGTTTTCCTACTTTTCTAAGTATAACAAAAATATAAGGATGATGGCATGGATGCTTAGATTTTTATACAACACTCGAAATGAAACAAAGTTAAAGGGAGATTTAAGTTATATAGAATATGAGGAAAGCGAAAGAAGAATCTTCAAGCTTATTCAAGTAGAAAGTAAATAATTTATTAAAAGTAAAATTAAGGGAATAAGTAATTTTTATGACAAGAATAATTTAATAAGAACAAAAACAAAGCTTTTACTTACCGACTTTCCAGAAAGCACGAAGTATCCAGTTATACTACCAGCGAGGAATATTTTAATACATAGACTGGTGGAACAAAGACACGCTCTGTTGCAACACGCTGGATTAAATACCGTGTTAGCTGATTTACACAGTAAGTACTGGATTATAGGTGCTAGACAATTAGTAAAGGCAATAATTTCACGTTGCTGTGTATGTAAACGCTACAGAGCCAAACATGTACAGGTATCGACTGCTCCATTACCTGTAGAGCGTACACGTTGTTCTGCTCCTTTTGAAATTACTGGTGTAGATTTAGCTGGACCACTGATCTTACGCGATGGACAAAAGTGCTGGATCGTATTGTATACATGTGCAGTCTATAGAGCTGTACATTTAGAAGCAACCAGATCACTCTCGACTGAAGCATTTTTGATGACCTTTCGTCGGTTCATAGCTCGGCGAGGAAGAGTCAGCATTATGATGAGTGACAATGGTACAAATTTTGTCGGAACAAAAAATTTACTATCAGAAATAGACTGGACAAAAGTTGAACAAGATTCTGTTATACAGGGTATAAAATGGAAACTTAATGCACCTACTGCTGCGTGGTGGGGTGGATTTTGGGAAC